GGAAGGAAGGAAGGAAGGAAGGAAGAAGAGGTTACAATGCATATCAGAAGAGACTGAAATATGAAAGCAGCCAGAACAAAGGTAAGACATGCTGGAGTAAGATTGCTTAACAGAAGATTTCGAAAGGCAGCTCGAGAAGACAAAACAAGATATAATAAAATATACAAGGAACTAGAGTTAGAAAACCCGAAGGGAAGAACACATTCTGCATTTCTCAAGCTAAAAGAACTGAAGAAGAAATTCAAGCCTTGGTTTTCAATACTGAGGGATTCTATGAGAAAAACCTTGAATGACGCAGGAAGCATCAAAAGAAAATTGAAAAAAATACAGATTCACTGCACCAAAAAGAATTGGTCAGCACTTAACCATTTCAGGGAATAGAATGCCAATGATAGCAAAGAAAGAACTTCCAGATTTGGCAAAAAATAAAGCCCCAGGAACTGATGGAATACCAGCTGAGGTGTTTGAACAAGCAGGTGCAGTCCTGGGCATGCCCACTATCCTCTGCCAAGAAATTTGGAAGACAGCTCCCTGCCCAGTGGACTGGAGCAGATCCACATTTGTTCCCATTCCAAAAAAAGGGTGATTCAACAGAGTATAGAAATCATTGGCCAATATCACTAATATCACATGCAAGTAAAATCTTGCTGAAGATCATTGAAAATTGGCAAAAACAGTACATCAAAAGTGAACTTCCAGAAATTTTAGCTGTATTCTAAAGAGGCCATAGAGTGTGAGCTATCATTACTGATGTCAGATGGGTCTTGACTGAAAGCAGAGAATACCAGAAAGATGTTTACTTGTGTTTTATTGACTATATAAAGGTATTTGACTGTGTGGATCATAACAAATTATGGATAAAAGTGAGAAAATGTACTCATGTAAAACCTACACATAAACAAAGAAGCTCTTATCTGAACAGAACAAGGGAAGCCTGCATGTTTTAAAATAGGGAAGATATGTACCAGGGTTGTGCCCTTTCTCCACACCTATTCAGTCTGTATACAGAGCATATAATTGGAGAAGTTGGACTCTCTGAAGAAGCATGTGACATCAGGATTGGAGGAAGACTCATCAACAACCTGCATTATGCAGATGGCACAACCTTGCTTTCAGAAAGTGAAGATTTGAAGCTTTTACCACAGAAGATCAGAGACTGCAGTCTTCAATATGGGCTACATTTCAACACCAAGAAAACAAAATCCCTCTCCACTAGACCAATAGGTAGTATTGTGATAGATGTAGAAAAGATTAAAGTTGTTAACGATTTCATTTTGCTTATGTTCATGATCAACACTCATGGTAGCAGCAGTCAATAATCAAAAGACACGATGCTTTGGGAAAATGTGCTGTAAAGAATCTCATGATAGTGCTCAAGAGCAAGGATGTCAGTTTAAAGGCGAAGGTGGGCCTGATCCAAGTCATGGCATTTTTTCCCCAATTTTTTTAAATTAATTAATTTTAATGAAAGTTTACAGAGACTTTGGATTTCCATTCATTCATTGTTGCACTTTCCCCCGTAAGGCATGTTATTTTCAATTGCTTCTTATATATCTGAAAGTTGTACAATAAGTAAGGAAGACCAGGGAAGAATTTATGCCTTTGAATTGTGGTATTGGCACACAGTACTGAATATACCTCCAAGATCTATCTTGGAGGGTGATCTTTAGAGGCAATGATGGTAGAACTTTGTGTCTTATAGCATCTTATCTATCAGGAGGGTCTAATTCTTGGAAAAATACATCATGCTGGGAAAGGTAGAGGGTCACAGAAAGAGAAGAAGCCCCTCAAAAAGACGGGTTGAAATAACGATTATAACATGTTGGCGATCATGAGGGAGGCACAGGATAGGGTGAGGTTCAGAGCTGTTGTTCACTATGAACTGTGGAGGACTCAACGTGCCTAACAACAATAACGATAAAGAAACCATTCTAGCTAGTCAATGTCCAGTTCCCTAGGGCTATGTCTATAATGCAATTTCTTTTACAATGAAATTCTTCTAAGAAATTGCTTCCTCTAAGGAATAGGAATTTTTTTCCCTTCATCTCAATAATGAGACTCGTAACACTGATCACTCTGTCTTTCTCACTTTCACTCAGAGGGACTCAGAGCAAAATCTGTTGTCAATTATATAAGTGCTTGAGTAAGTTTCTATGACATGCATATGAATTATTTATTAAATACATCTTTCTTTTCTCCCTAGTGCAATTTATTTTTTTCTGATTGTGCTGTTTCATCTCTATCTGAATCTTATGATATTTAACAAGTTAATATTTATAGTCCTTATAATTTCAACTAATTATGAATGGGAGAGATTATAAAGAATTATAGAGACACAGGTATGGGCATACATACATACACACTATTTAACTTAACAATACTGAGAATATTATGGAATCTTAAGAATTGTTAATATCTGCCAAGCTTTCAATTTGAAGATCAAGGAGATACTTTTCGTTTCCATTTTCTGTCATCTCCAGGATACTTTATCGAGAGAAAAAAGAAGCAAAGCTCCAGGTGGATGAGGCTGAATTTTGATCTCTGCAAAGAAACAACTTTTGAGCCCAAGAAGATGATTGAAGGTGTGGCCTACGAGGTGCGCATCTTTGCCGTGAATGCCATCGGCATCTCCAAGCCCAGTATGCCCTCCAAGCCTTTTGTTCCTCTGGGTGAGTCAAGAGAGCTGTGTCTTTATCATGGGAATCACTGCCTCCGATTTCATCGACTTTATTGATTCTGACTGCTTTTCTTTAACTAGGGCAGGCCTGACAACTTCTTGGCATGGTTGGCACGCAGGATGTTGGGGGTGGATAGGAACAATTTGTCTTCTAAAATATTTTAAAACAATAAAAACATGGTAGAGCTCTGGTAGCTTACAGGTTACAGAAGCTGTGCTGCAGTCCCAAAGGCACATGGTTCAGATCCGCCAGCGGCTCCACAGGAGAGGGATGGCAATCTCCTTCCGTGCGATTAAACTGCTTCTGAAAACAGAGTCAGCTACGGGTCATTTCTGACTTGACGGCACATAACAACAACATGATAGCATTGAAGTGTTTCACAATATGGGCTTCAGAATTTAGAACTAGCATTCCAGCAATGTCTCTGTGTGACTCCAGCTGTCATTTCCACATTTAAAGCACAGAGATGAATTTTTTTGACCCAAGACCACTCACTATTGATCCTCATGTAGCTATAACTCTCTCTAGAGCCTTAGTGTAAGTACTGTAAGTAAGGAGAACTGAAACGAAACAGACCATATTTAGAAACTAGTCTGGTTTTGTATTACAATTACACCTTATGTATTAGTCATTAAACCAGAAGATTTAGTTAAGTGAAGGCAAAGACACAAAAGATAGTGTCTCCATTATTTTATTGTAGAGTCTCTGGATGGTTCAAATGTTCTAATGCTCTTGCCTGGTAACTGAAAAGGTGGAGGTTCATGAGGGTTCTTGGGTAGAAGGACAAGGTCTCCTTCCTACGAAAACCCTCTTGGAGCACAGTTCTGCTCTGACACTCATGGGAACAGCATGAAGCAGGGTGGTTTGTTGACAATGGCAAGTTTTTTGGTTTTTTTGTTGTTGTTGTTTTGCAACACTGAAGTATTTTGGGGAACATGTAGAACAAGTGTTCCCACTTTAATTAGAGAGTTAGAAGAAATTCCTTCCACATCATTAGATCCCAAATGTTTAGTTTTTCAGCTCTTTTAGGTCTCCTATCCTCCCACAACAACTTCCACAAGTGGAGAGAAAATTATTCAGCATTCCCATAGTGTTCTATGTCTAGCATTATCTTTGTCCTATACAACACAAATGCTTGTTGTTATGTGCAGTCGAGTCACTATGACTCATCATGATCGTATGAACAACAGCTCTGAACCCTGCCCTGTCATGGACCAGTCTCACCGTCTCTGACACACCTGACCTCATTGGCACAGTCACTGTGCCAGTCCATCTCACCCAGGATCTCCTGTGCTGACTTTCCATCCTTCCAAGCATGATGTCTTTCTCCAAGGATTATCCCTTCCTGACAATATGTCCAAAATATGTGAGGTAGCATTTCAGAATCCTTGGAGAAATACCTGTGTGTGTTGCTACATGTATGCTTGTCTGTCATCTTCTCTTTGGGATACAGTGTTTGTCTGTCAGATGCTGTACTAAAGCAGAGCTCCCATATGAAGACAGACTGGGAAGAAGGATCCACTTCTGAAATAAAAGATCTTGGAAAACCCTATGAGTACAAATACTTAGGGAATCTTTGTTATATATTACTAACAAAGTCTTGGAGCTTCTGTATTTTTAAATTTTTTTCCCCTCAGCTCATTTTTGTCACAGTTCTTGTGCCACTGTTCTAGAGTTAATAATTTTTCCCCCTCTCTCTCTTTTAAGCTGTAACCAGCCCTCCTACCCTTCTGGCTGTGGACTCTGTAACTGACAGCACGGTGACGATGAAATGGCGGCCCCCAGACCAGATTGGAGCAGCAGGTTTAGATGGCTATGTACTAGAGTATTGCTTTGAAGGAAGTAAGTACCGCTAGTAAGGTGGCTTCCTAAGGCTTAGCATGAGTACCACCATCAATAGGTGAGATATGTCTTTCTCTTGTTTCTCTCTTTTGAAAGTTCACCTCCTTTGCACTAAAAATGAAATCAATCCAAATTTCAACTTTTTTGGCTGTATAGAAAAATGTAATCTTTCTTTAGTACTTGATTTAATTTGGTACTTAATGAATGGTGATATAAAAAATATCCTACTTTGGCTACCAGATTGGGTGTCATGACTGAACTAAAGCATAGAAGGACAGGGCTCTGACGTAACTTTAAGGACATCCACTGCTGAGTTGGTGGAATTAAATGAAAACAAAACAAAAGTCTTATTCAAGTGCAGCAAATTGGAAATTTCAAGCTCTGTACTGAACAGATGATGATGATCAGAAGACTTGCTTATTCCTAATTAATAATGAAACTATATATCTGGATATCTGGTAAGCATGCTTATGTCTTCTTAAGGGGTATTGAAAGTGAGAATTAAGAATAATTCTCTGAGTTTGAAGGAAGTGGCATTAAGTTTCAGATAGTATAAGAAATAGTTTCAAGGTATGATAGTGACTTGTCTCAGGCTTGAGAACATACTTAATGGCTCAAAATTAGGAGGTAAAGAGAAATAAAGCATGAGAGGTGGGGAATCACAGAGAAAAGAAGAAATGATACCAGAAAATTGCTACAAGTACAAGTGAAAAACCTAGAGAAGCGAAAGTCACTGAATATCTCTTACATTTCTTGGTTTCCTACTTGTCATAACAAGAAGGGATATCTTTTGAAAATGGGTAAATAAAACTGGGCCCAATCATCATTACAGATAATGGAAGAAAGATAGTACACTTGAGAGGTCATTAATATATCTTCAAGTAATAGCCAAAGACTCAATTGCTAGGAAAACTCTTTTGAACTCCCATCTTTTACATGGATCTCACCAGTGAGGGAAACAGAGATGACAGAGCACATCCAGGAGACAGCAATGGAGATGCAAATGCCCCTCCCTAAGAGGAAAACCTCTGAGAGAAGCAGCTTCACAGGAAGAGCAATTTGAGAGAAAGAGAAATCCCAATACCCTGAATTGAAGAAATGTGGACGTGCACACCATTGCTGGTCAGGAAGGAAGAACACAAGGAGATGGAGAAGGGAGTGTCCTAGAGCCTTCCTGTTCCCATGGGCTCTGCTCACAGAGGATTGTACTCAATCTTTCAGGGCTTGAACAACAATTTAAACCAAACCAGTGGGGGGAGAAAATCATAACAAAGTTCCCAGAGTGAACAGATCAGGGAGGCGGGCAGTGTCTCTAATGCAGCAGGTAAATTCTTGAACACTTCAGAGTATGGTTTACTCTGACCCCATTTCTTCCCATACTTCACAGACTTGGGAACATATTGTGTGTTTTATACGGTCCGGGCAGCCGGATTTTCCAATCTTATATGTGATGTGGCTGCTGAGCACAAACCTTTTGTATTTGTATGAAATAGAGCAAATTCTTTACTCTTTTCTTTCTGATAGGTTTAAAAAGTAAGAAGATACAGCAAAATGATAGCTGTCTGTCATTTTGATGTTACCCACCTTAGATAAAATACAACGAAGTGTATTTTACATAATTTTGTGTGTGGTCTGTGTAGATACATATGTATATGTCTGTATACATATGTATATGTACACAGTCATTATTATGTATATATTTTGCCATATAACGAACGTCTTGGAATTAGCTTTCTATGGAAGTTCTTTTATAAGTGTATCTCTTCTTGCAGTCTTTTCTTACTTCTTTATGTGCCTGCTCTATTCTTCAGTCTCTCTTAGTGGCTGTTGTCCTCCAGACTAATTTTAATTTGTAGTGTTTTATGCTTTTCAGGGTTTTAGTCTGCAAGAGAATTCTCTCTTTTATAGGATTGTGTGTTATTTCTGACTCTGCCTTTCTCTTGTTTGTTTTTTTTTTTAATGCCTGCAACATTTTATTCTTCTTTGTTTTCTTTCTTCACTCTGCTTTGTCAATTCTTTCTTTAAATTGCCCCTCATATATGAAATCAAAGCCCTCATAGGGTAGTGGTTAAAGAATCAAGCTGCTAACCAAAAGGTGGGCAGTTCAAACCCGCTAGCCTCATTGTGGGGGAAAGACGTGCTAGTCTGTCTCCATGAAGATTTATAGCCTTGAAAACCCTGAGGGTAGTTCCACTCTGTCCTGCCATGTCACTCTGCGTCAGAATAGGTTTATATATTAAGTACCTTCCATGTTCCTTCCTTATTCCCTCAACATGATTTTCTTTCTCAAAGGCTCCCTCAATTAAAGTGGTTCAAATGTGAAAGGGTTGGCTGTTATTGTTTCTTTCTGATCTTTTTTTACATCCTATTTTCTCTTGAAAGTTCCCCTTTTCTGATTCTTTCCTACATATTTTCTTATTTCCTGTTTATACTTTTTCATCAGTTATCTCCTGACAATGAAAATACCAACCATGTACCTCTTTAAGAGATTATGTACTTAAAGCAGTGTCCCATTTTCTGAGTTAGAAGTCACTTATGTAGCCCACAGACCCTCCCAGCTGCCACGATATTCTGGCTTCCTGCTCCCTTCTCCAGTGATCCTGATAGAGCTGAAGTGGGAGACAGGAAAACCTTCTCAGGGGAGCTGCCCACGCCTCACATTCACGCTCCTCTCCTGATACTAGAAGCCCATCACACCAGTCAAGTGTGTCCAAGGCTGCACCATGAAACAGCAAGGTCCCATCTGTTGTTGTTGTTGTTATGTGCCGTCGAGTCGCTTGTGACTCATAATGACACTATGTACAACAGCCCTGAATGCTGCCCTATCCTGTGCCAATTGCAATGTCTCTAACACACCCATCCCGATTACCCCAGTCACTGAATCAATCCACCTCATAGAGGGTCTTCCCCTTTTGCACTGTCCCTCCACCGTCCCAAGCTTGATGTCCTTCTCCAAGGACTGGTCCCTCCTTGCAACATGTCCAAAGTATGTCAGATGAAGCCTCAGAATCCTTGCCTCCAAGGAGCCAGCCCAGTTTAACCCTCTCCAGGATGAACCTGTTTGTTTTCTTAGCAGTCCATGGTACATTCAATACTCTTTTCCAACACCACAGCTCAAAGACATCAATTCTCCTTCTATCCTCCCTAGTCATTGTCCAACGCTCTGGTTCATTAACAAGTGATAGCAAAGACCATGACCTATATCAGGCGCACCTTAGTCTCCAGAGTGACACCATTTCTCTTCCATACTTTGGAGAGGTCCCTAACAGCAGACTTCCCCCATTACAATACGTCTTTTAATTTCCTGGCTGCTGGTGACAAGACTGTTGACTGTGGAGCTAAGCAAACAAAAGCTGTGAACAATCTCAATCTCTTCATCATCCATCCTGATGCTGCGAATTCGTCCAGTGCTGATCATTTTTGTCATCTTGATATTGAGCCTCAATCCATACTGAAGGTCCCATCTACCCATATGAAATACAGGGACCTGAGCAAGGTCAGCTGGTTTTCTGGGCACAGAGCTCATTGTCCAGGTAACCAAGGGCAGCCTCATGGGACAATTCCCACTTCCTTTAGGATTCCCACCAGACTAAACAGAGCTGGCATTGTCACCATTGGCTCCTAGACTCTGATGAGCAAACCCCATTGTGACAGCACTATAGTCCTCAGGGGTCTTTGGGAGTCCTCTGAGCCCTCCCAGGCTGTCTAGGATACCCAGGGAAGGAATACGGAGAGTCCGCTCCCTGCGCTGCTCCACTGTGGACCCCAGGGCCAGCTCCTCCCTTCTCCTCATCCCTGCTTTGTTCTTCTCTGCCTCTTGTTCCCACAATGGAAAGGCCCCCTCTCTTTTTCTCCCCTTCTTCTCCTCCGCCCTACTCTTTCCTGTGGCACCTGCCACAGGACAAAACCCATATCTGAACAGAACAGGCTGTGCACTCCTGAGGAAGCCCCACTAACGTGTTTGTTCTCTTCCGTCACTGCTCTGAAGACACGTATCTTTGCGTTCCTTGCATATTTTATACTAACAGAGAATGCTGACTACTGATATAACGACATACTTTTGGCGTGAAAGTGGGTGTCTTTAATTAATTTTAATGACGGACTCTCAAAGGTACCTCAACAAAACAGTCTAATGGAAATGGGGAGGCTGCGTTTGACCTAGCAGGTAAAGTACTCTGAAAGCTCTCAGACTTTCTTATTATGTGATAAAGTTCTGGGAATGTCCCATGACCGAGCATGAAGTGCACCCACCACACACCTGCACACACCAAAACCTTCAAAGTGGGGTGGGGAGGACAATTGTTTGTGGACTAAGGCTTCTTTTCCTGAGGGCACAAGGCTTATAAACTTGGAGAAGATGGAATATTTATTTGTATGTCCTGAATGTTGGGATTCAACTCTCTTGGAAATTTTTTTAGACAAATTTTTGTAGACAAAGCTTCCAGAAGCTAAAAACAGAAAACAAGTCCAAAAGCCCAGACAAACCAACAATAACAAAATTCAGTAAAGGGGAAAAGCAATTATACCATTCATCTCCTTATGAGATTCTGCCTTTTGTTGTGGTTGTAAGCTTCTTTCCTTCATAGTTGGGACTATATCAGATTCCCTGTGTTCACAGTAAGGTCTTCAAGAACAAAACAGAGATGGTATGACCAATTGTGGTGACTGTATAACTAATGAGGGAGCTCTGGTGGCCCAGTGGGAAGAAGCTGCACTGCAATCCCAAAGGCTTAAGGTTCAAATCCACCAGCTGCTTTGTGGGAGAGGGATGGGCTTCTCCTCCCATGTGATTTAGTGCCTCTGAGAACCCACTAGAGGGTCAGCTCTGAGTCAGTTCTGACTCAATGGCACGTAATAACAACATACTAAGGTCGTTTAAGGGAAAATATTGGATGAACTAAATGAAAGTCAATGTCTTTCTTCCTCTTTTTCGGACTTTTAATGTATGTATATGGCTAAACACCATAGTTCTACCAAGTATAATAAAGCCAAATCGGAACAATATGGCTGTAAAAATATTGGGAGCATTTACTAGAATTCAGAATGCATTAGTATCTTGGATAAGAGGTGGTTTGTTGTGGTTTTTTTTCCAACTAAATCTGATAGCTTATCTTTTCTTTTTCACTTGTCCTTCTTGTTGTTTATGTGGTCCAGTTGAGGCCATGTTGGGTTTTTGGTTTGCTTTTGTTTTCTGTTGTGTTTTTGTTTTGTTGGTTTTTTTTTTGTTTTTTTTTTTCATTTAAATGTGACAAATGCCACCAGTCAGTTGGTCTCAGCTGAGACCAGATCATGTCCCTTGTGGTGATTTTGTTGGGAATCAAATAGTAATTTGGAGTCTGTTGTGACGGTTGCAATTACTTCCCTGAATGAGCACTGTTCCTCCTTGTTTTCTTTTTCTTCTGTGGATTTTAGCTGAGGACTGGACAGTTGCAAACACAGATCTGATTGACAAGACCAAATTCACCATCACGGGTCTGCCCACGGACGCAAAGATCTTTGTGCGTGTGAAGGCTGTGAATGCAGCTGGTGCCAGTGAGCCCAAGTACTACTCTCAGCCCATCCTCGTGAAGGAAATCATAGGTAGGCACCGATACTTCCCACAGGTTTCTCCATTCTCCATTGTTGGCCTTTAATAATTTTTAACCCGCTATCTTTTTTGAGGGTGGAGGGACAGCGCAGGAGGGGAAGGCCCTCTATGAGGTGGATTGATTCAGTGACTGGGATAATCGGGATGGGAGTGTCAGAGACAGTGTGATTGGCATAGGACAGAGCAGAGTTTAGGGCTGTTGTACATAGGGTCTCGCTATGAGTCGCAAGCGACTCGACGGCACATAACAACAATAATCTTTCTTGAAGCCTCCTATTTCCTTGTCAGGTACCACCAAGTGAATTTCAACTCATTATGACCCCAAGCGACAGAGAAGAATTACCGTATAGGGTTTTCTAGCCAGTCATCTGGGAAGATTAAAACCACCATTTCAGTTAGAAATTATGTGTTTAATGCTGTCCCACCAGGACGCCTTCCATTAACCAAAACCAAACCAAACAACTGCCATGGACTAGATTCTGGCTTCCAGAGACCATGCTGTACAAGAAGAGTGGCTAACTCGACAGCACTTAATAACAACATAAAGAGAGCGCTGTGGGCCTTGAGGACAGAAATTGATGCTACCAAGCCAAATGTGGGTGATTTCAATCTGCAGCCCTCAGGCCTGGTTTGAATTATTTTTGGTCAAACATTCTTTTAAGCGGTTCTGGTCTGTCCATTTGCTGGACAGAGGTAACTCATGGTTGCTGTGATGCTAAACACTGTGAAACCGATGTGGCAAATGAAATAATGGTTACCCATGGTGGACAGTGTTTGGTGGAGCTCTCCAATTAAAACAAGCTTGGAAGCAGGAGTGGCAACCACTTCTGATACAGCTTGCCTCTGGAAAGTCTATGAACGTGGAGAAACAAGTTATACAAGTGTTCAGGTCTTTCTTTCATAGGGTTGCTATGAGTCATCTATGACTTGACAACACTTAGCAACAACACCAATAGGATTCCTAAGGTTACAGACCCCTGTGGGAACAGCCTGCCACAGCTTTCACCTGTGGAATCATTGGTTACCTTGAACCACCAACATTCTGGTTAGTAGCCAAGAAATTTTAACCTCTGTGCCACAGTGGCGACCCCTTCTATTTTATGACAAACTTGATATTGTGCCTCGTGGGAGCTAGAAACAAAACAGCTCTTTTCAGATATGGGTAAAAGATACATTCTGAACACAACATACCAAAAGCCCGATCCATGGCCATGGAGTTGATTCCAGTTGATGGCAATACTCCATTAATCTCCCACGGCCGTGAATTTTTATAAGGAGGAAACTGACCATATTTCTCCTGAGGAACAGCTGGTGGAGCCGATCCACTGGCAACTCAACATGGAAAGCACTACACCAGCCCACCAAACCCAAGCCACTGCAGTCAAGTAGATTCTAACTCATAGTGAACCCCCATCAGGTTTCCAAGGCTGTAAATTTTAACAGCAACAGATTGTCCACCTTTCCTCTGAGGAGCAGCTGGGAGATTCGCACTGCCAACCTTACATTTAACAGCCTGATACATTATGCACTATGTCACCAAGACTCCTTATACTACTTCAGCAGGGCCCATTGAACATAAGATAGACCAGGAGATTTTAATGTAGCAGAGTTTATCATTTACTGATATGGTTTCACATTCCACATTGCAACTAAACTTAATGAAGCTGCCTCCCAGCATGTCTTCGGGTAGAATCGATCAAAGAGGAATATCCATAAGTAGCTGGGAATTTTGTTAAAACATCCCGCCTTCTCCAACTAAAGATCTATAGGTTTTCTATATCCTTCAACCAATTCAACAGATTGAACATAGCAGCAGTTATGAGAATCCAGATGTCCTCTATTAAGCCAGACATTAAAGATAGTTACAAAACTAATGCCACTCATCTCACTAATATTTTGTTAATGAAAAGCGCAGTTATTTTACATTAAAATGCTATCTTGTTAATCTTTTTAAATTAATAAAGAGAAAAGCAAGGCCTTAGTTATTAGTTACTGTTTATGCCATCAACTCTGGAGAAAGGTCCCTTTTCTTTACAAAATAATCATAGCTGACTCATAGCTACGGACTCACAGCTGACCTTTCAGTGGGTTTTCAGAGATAGTAAACTGCACAGATGGGAATAAATCCCACGGAGCAACAATATCAATCTAAAGACTAAAGTGCATCAGATCCAGGCCATGGTCTTTGCAAGTATGCTATGCATCAGAAAGCTGGATAATAATGATAACAGAAGAATTGATGTCTTTGAGTTGTGATGCTTAAGAAGAGTTTTGAGCATACTATGGACTGCCAAGACAAGAAACGTGTCTATCCTGGAGAGGGCAAAACCAGGCTGTTACTTGGAGGCAAGGATTTTGAAGCTCCATTTCGCATACATTGGGCACGTGGCCAGGAGGGACCAGCCAGGGAGACATGATGGTCAGAAGGGTGAAGGGATAGCACAGGAAAGGAAGAGCCCAGATGAGATGGATTGATAGAGTAACTGGGGGAACATAGGTAAGTGTGTGGGAGACAGTGAGATTGGCTCAGGATAGAGCAGGGTTTGAGCTGTGTTGTATTTGGGTTGCTATGAGTTGCCGACAACCTGATGGCACATAACAACAACAAATCATTTGGAAGAAGACTGGGCATCTTCTTTCTCCCTCAGAACAGCTAGTGGATTTGAACTGTGTGCTTCTCTAGCAAAAATTCTTCAATTGGAAGGAAGCTCTGGTGGCCTAGTGGCAAGAAGCTGCACTGCAATCCTAGAGGTTTGTTGTTGTTGTTGTTTGAGGCCGTCGAGTCGTAGACGACTCATAGCGACCCTATGAATGAACGGCCTGAGCACTATTCGTACATAGAGTTTCCGGAGGCAAGCCATTTCGGAAGTGGATGCCACTCCTGCTTCCAGGCTTGATTTAGTCAGGAAGCTCCAGCCAACACTGTCCACCATGGGTGCCCATTACCACAATAGGCACATCACTGTCACAGTGTTCAGCATCACAGCAACCACGAGTTACCTCTGTACAGCAATGCGCAGACCAGTGTTATACCACCTAGAAGAATGTTTGACAGGAAGACAATTTGAACCTGGCCGAGGGCTCAAATCCACCAGATCCTCTGCTGGAGAAAGAGGGGCAATCTTCTCCTATACCAGTCAGATCTGATTTAACAGTGCACACACACAAAAATAATTAAATGAATGAATGAATGAATGAATGAATCTATTTTTCAAATGTTACAAGCAAATTCATCACCTCCCAGTTCAGGAGGCTAGAAGGCCAGACAGATTCAGAGCACTATCTCTAGGGTAAGGTTTTCTGCCTCAGTGGGTTCTGGAGCAAGATGCTTGTCTCTTTTTGTGCCTCTTCTTCCTGAAATATTGCACATTTCATGTGCTGAGATATCTATCTCCCACCATCTATGGTGGCTTAATCAACTGTCCTGGTCTGCTTTATATCTCAACAGAGATTGATTTCCAACACATCTTATGGGTGAAAGAATTAGGAAAGACCAATGAGGACCTGAAAAGATGCTGAGATAGTGTAGGCATAGATCATTGGTGATGAATTCTATAAAACACAATGTATATCAGTGGTCATTTGAAACAAAGTGAATGTAGGAATGTGTGAAATGCATGAATGATACACAGTGTATATGAATTTTGTATGAAAACCAACATAAAACTTTTTAAAAGTGGAAAAAAATAAAGCACATCCTACACTAATGTTGGTTCATTAGCATAACAAAGGTAACCCATTCCCAAATGGGATTATAACCACAAAGAAAGTAAGATTTAGAAACATGGGGTGTCCCCCTCATTGTTTCCTGTGCATCTGAAAGATGGACGAGAACAAGGGTAACAGAAGAATAATTGATACCTTTGGGTCGTGATTTTGAGAAAAGTACCAGATATCCCATGGACTGTCAAAACAACAAATAAATCTACCTTGAAAGAAGTACGCCCTGGGTGCTCCTTAGAGGCGAGGATGGTGAGACTTCATCTCATAGATTGTGGGTGTGTTGCCAGGATAGGTCGGTCCTTGGAAAAAGACATCATGCTGGGAAGGCAGAGAGGTCAGAGAAAGAGATCATCAACAAAATGGGTTGACACAACGACAGTGGGGTTGTGTACAGCAGAGATGGTTAGGATGGCACAGGACAGGGCAAGGTTCAGATCTGTTGCTCATGGGGTTGCTGTGAGTCATGGTCAACTAGATGTCACCTAACGACAGTAACAGGGCTCTGGTGGCACCATAAGGAAGCACTTTACTACTAAATAGAAGGTCACTGTTTAAACCAGCCAGCCCCTCCTTGCACCTTGGGAGAAACGTGTCATAATTTGCTTCAGTGAAGATTACAGCCTTGGAAAGTCTTAAGAGCAGTTTTACTCTGTTATAGGATCATTATAAATCATAATGGGGACAGGTAGCAGTGGGTATGAATGGATTTATAGCACATATTTTTTAAGGGAAGGGTGGTCACAATTTAATCCATAACAGCAAGCATGGGAAGTCTGCCTAGGTGTTTTTTTTTTTTCTTGTGTTTTCTTTTTTTATTTCATTTTATTAATTTTAATGAACATTTACAGAGATTTTGGATTTCCATTCATTCCCACTGCTACCTGTCCCCATTATGATTTATAATGATCCTATAACAGAGTAAAACTGCCATTAAGACTTTCCAAGGCTGTAATCTTCACTGAAGCAAATTATGACATGTTTCTCCCAAGGTGCAAAGAGGGGTTGGCTGGTTTAAACAGTGACCTTCTGTTTAGTAGTAAAGTGCTTCCTTATGGTGCCACCAGAGCCCTGTTACTGTCGTTAGGTGACATCTAGTTGACCATGACTCACAGTGACCCCATGAGCAACAGATCTGAACCTTGCCCTGTCCTGTGCCATCCTAACCATCTCTGCTGTACACAACCCCACTGTCGTTGTGTCAACCCATTTGTATATTCCCAGTAGTAGAATTGCCAGGTCAGATAGTATCTCTGTTTGCAACTTTTTGAGA